GCGGGGCGGCCGCACGGGCAGCTGCGGCGGAGGGGAACCGCGGCACAGCGCCTGCAGAGAACGGAAGCGCGCTAAGCAGCATACAGAAATTTTTAAGATGTCTTCCATAGCTTTTCCTTTTACGTATAACCTTACATTATAGAAGGGGAGAATGCTTTCAGAATATTTCATTTCAGAAATTCACATTCTCACGATTCCTGTTTGCTGGGGGGGCACGGGGGAGGGGAGGAGGTACCTTACGGCTAAGGCAAGAAGCGGCACTCGGAAGCAGAACTCTCTGACGGCAAGAATGAAAACTGCTCCTCGCCTCCAGCATGACAGCAATCTGACAACCCCATAGCGGGAACTTAAGTAAGAGCTGGGCCGGCAGCCTAATTCACACCACTGCTAACAGTGCACTTCATTAACTTTTTGTAGCTCTGCTCCTACTTTGTAATCCAAAATTGCATTTTTCACTCCGACAGCGTAAAAATAGACTCACTGCCTCAAAACAGGACACATTGGAAAGACGGTTCCAGATAGGATGCTGGCAGCAGAAAAATTAGGCAGCGTTGCCTCAGCCCTTCGACATGGAGTGTAAATACCCCATATCTGACACAGGAGCCTGCCTTGTGTGTGACAGTGGGGAAAAAACGTAACGTGACCAAGTAGACACTGAAATAAACTGTCACAGGAAACTGCAGGCTCTAAAACCACATCCACATGGTGTGGCATGGCAAGAACGTGAAGATGCCTTAAGTCAGGCTAGACCAGGTTATGGACAAGGCTCCTTCCAGCTCCATTTCCTGAAATGAGGAAACGTCAGAAGAGTCAAATCTGTGCTAGAAAATACGACCTGTTGGAGGCTAGGGGTATGACAGAGAATTACAATAGTAAGGTGATGCATTCTTATAGCACTTCTATGTAATTGCAGCTCATAAAATAAAAAGAATCTCTGTAGTCACCTAATTGAATTATCTCAATAATGCAGAAAACAGAGATGCCAGATCCTTTTCATTCAAGCTGTATCCTGATGCACTTGGCAATGTGACATCTGGCAAGTTTCTCCAACTAACCCTTTGTTCAATTTGGTTACTGTCACCTCTGAATTAATTTCCTGGATTCCACAAATTGGGACTATGAGAGGACACGTGACATACACTACAAATGCGTTTTGCTAAAAGCTTTGCAACGATACTACAGGCACAGTTGAGAAGTTACATCTATCCAAAATCAAAGCTTGTTGCTGTACTGGTAACCACCAGCCCTCCGTAACCCTAAAATGCACACGTTCAGACTGGCTTTCATGGGCTGCCCCAGAATCAGAAGCAATGGAAGCAGCAGGCACGTGGACAGAATTCTTTCCAAGCTAATAAACCATGCAAACAATCAAAGTTAAATACGTGAAGTTACCCCATGATCTCCCCATTTTAGATGGGTCATGGTTTTGTTTTATTCAGGTGATGTCCTTTGATATCCTGACTAATTAGAAGATTTTCAGTTTATTTTTGCACTCTTCTGTTTGTAATGAGGAAGAGCACCAATGTTGCTATACACACAAAAGCAACAAGTACATTTTGTTAAAGGTAGGCCAGGTTTCTCCTATTTCTTGCCCTTCAATGATTCCACTGGAGTACTTAGATGGGGCAGATTTTTCCATCATGTGAATCATTTAAGATAAATAATAAATACTTTGCTAAAAAAAAAAAAAAAAAAGATATACTGTTGTCCAACAACTTCATGGAGTAACTGAGATTTCCTTAGCCTGTGTGATGCAGTGGGGCAGACTAGGTAGTCAGAAGATCACCGTCAAAAGCAGTAACACACATTCTGGTCCTGGAGACTGAGCCAGAGGTAAGGTACTAGAGTAAGCTTCAGTCTCGTAATACCTCCACAAATTCTTCCTAAAATAATTGATTTTTTTTTTCTTTAGGACTGTTCACAACTCTCTCTGATGCACCACCTAGAATTTCAGTGGCTATCGCTATCACTCCAGTTCCTACCTGGAGCCACAAGAGAATGTTTCTTATCTAGGAAAAACATGTATTTGGGCCTGTTTCTTCAAGGGGGGAAAAAAAAAAAATATCAGGAAGGAAGCTGTCTTGACAAACAACTAAAATTCAATTATATTGCAGAGGATGGGACATTTACAATTACTTTGTGTAACACTTGCTAATGTAAACAGTAATTAAAACATGAACATTTCAACTGAGTATCTGTATTTTAAAAGGCATGGAAAAATAAGAGTCGAAAACTGTCACAGAGGCATGGTTGTCATGTAGCAAGGACAGGTTAAAGGTGGCTGGCAGACAGGTCCACTCATAACAATTCAGGCTGCCTGGGAGGGCTCCTGTATTTTAGATGTTCATTTAGTTCCATGTAGAAAAATCAGGTGCTTCTCCCACAGGAAGATGACTGAATGCAGCTCCAAAATGCTTGGATTGAACTTTCCTCCTCTCTCCACACTCCTTGGTTCAAAAGCACTCTCAGTTTCTGGGAACATGGAACGTTCCTTTCAACATCCTCCTCCTTGTTCCTCATTAATGCAGTGTCTCTTGATCCCTCCACCTCTCAAGTGTTTCCCCACAGTGAAGTTTGCAGATGGTGCATAGGGAGAATAGGGGCATGAGAGGACACAGGACAGAAGCTCGTCACGTGTCTTAATCCAAGAACACAAGGCACATAGGTACCATAGGCACAGTATAAGAACCTGAGGAGAAAAGTCTGATCTGGATCCCACTCTCAATGTATCAATTCACTCCCCAGACTTTAAGTACAGGCCGCATCTATTTGACTTTTCAAAAGCAGAGAATACTAAGCATTATTAGAATTAACAAAAAACAGCCAGCCAGATCACCTCTGTAACTTCTTTCCATATTCACTGCCACCTTGAATGGATAAAAGATGTCAAATGGGAGTTTCCAGTGCATTCGGGGCTGGCCTCGTGGGGGTTCAGGCCATTCCGTCGTGTCAGTGAAGGTAACGACAGTTGTCAAAGGTACCGTGCTTGTATGTAGGAGCTGTAACAAGGAGGAAAGCACAGAGTGTTTAGCAAGCTTAATACGAAAGATACATCTCTCTTCAACTCGCTAATAAGGACCCGCTGTAGATGACTGGCAAGCAAAATGTTTTCAGGATGACAGGAGTTAAGTGTTCCAGATATATTTTTTAGTGGAGTAACTCCTACTTGGCAGGTAAATCAAGGGCCCAGGTCTCAAGTGTTCCGGATATACTTTTTAGTGGAGTAACTCCTCTTTCCCAAAATTGATACTTGGCAGGTAAATCAAGGGCCCAGGTCTCAGGAAAGATGAGCAGCTACTGTGCACCATGTTACAGATCTCCAGAATGGAAGCTTTGGTTACTCCTCAGCAGTGAAGCTCTGCTAGAGTAAGCCTTCTGTTCAGAGGAAAGACATACCACCTAGTTGGTAATAAGCAAAGCTAGCTTTATTTTTTATAAAATAATGTATTTTATGTAAGATAAGATCACCTGCCCTGTTGAACAGGTGATTGCTGCCAGAAACAGATGGGACTGCCACAAGATTTGATCCTTTCAATAAAGTATCAATAAAATAAAACAGGGACCCAATACTACAATGAACTTATTTCTCACATTTTAGGATATTGTTTCAGAAAGAAGACAGATGGGTAGGTCAGTTGGTAAAGATGGAACAGGGGACTGAACTTCTAAGGCCTCAGTTCCCTTCTGTTTCAACAGAATGCTGTATGACAACCAATACATTTGCTCCCTGAGCTGTGTGGAGTTTCATGGCTAGCTTGGGCTGATTTAAGACCATACTGCTGTCAAAAGAGCAACCTCACTCCCTGCCCAGCTTCCCTGTTCTGCATGCTAACCTCCAGAGAGGGAATCTACTGGCCACAAACCTCCTGTGCTTGTGCTGGTTTAAGCCAATCTGTGAAATCATCACCTCGTTCACTTCCCTGGAAACAATTTGGAAGATTGCCTTCAGAGCAAAGTTATGCAGGAAGCATTCGAAAAAGCTCCAAGACAGAATTCGTGACTCCTAAAAATACTGAGAATCCTGCTGGGGAATTTTTGCGGTACCTCTTGAAGCAAATTAAAAACACTTTTGTGCTTAAGTACAAAAGAAAAATGTAATGAACAATGCATGGGGCAGAGCCCTACCGCAATACATGGCTCTACACGGAGTCTGCAAAGATGCATAATAAGCAGATTCCTTAAATACACTAGCGCCAATCCCGAGATCGTCAGCACAGGGTATCTCAGCCCAGCTGTGGGTCTGCCCCCAGCCCAGCTCTGCTGCCCAGAGGTGGCCCCTGAGCTTGGACCCCTGAGTGTTCCCATTCCACGGTGGCTACAATGCGGAGGCTGTTTCTTATCTCCTCACCAAGGGAAACTTCGATGGGCCCCCCCCGGCCTTTCCTCCTTCCAGCCAGTTTAACCCCTTCTTGCAGTTGGGCCTTCCTGCCCTCCGTGCCAGATCATTCCTCAGCCACAAATTACCACTGCTGAGCAGTTACCCTGAGAATTTCCCCTTCACTCCTGATGGATGAAAGTTCTTCTCTCAGTGAGTAAACACACAGCAGGCACAATTGCCTTAGTCAACAAGAAGCCTCAAAATGATTCTGGCATTGTGTCTCAACCTTCAAAATCTGCCTTAAAATCAGAGAGATTAGTGGGAAAAAAACCCCATACACAACCCCTCCTCAACAGCTGGGAGAAGACAGCCACAAGGAACGTCCAGCACGCTCCCGTGCAGCTCTACACCATTTCAGACTGTCTTATATTTTCAGGATGTCCAAATACAGCTGTGACCAGATATTGTGGGTGGGTGTAGAAAACAGGATGTCTTTCCTGGGTTCTGTGTTTCCTGGTCAGTCACTAAGGCAACTCTCCAGTGACACGGTGTGGTCTAAAGGAAAAGGTTTTCTCTAAAGAATGGATAGTTCTCGAATAGAGAATCTGTAGGCTAAAACTGGGAGGTGACATAATTTAAAAGCAAAGCAATATACAGCATGCATTGGTGATCTCACTGGTATGCTGGCAAATTGCTGCAATTCTTAGTTGCTGGGTAGGGTACCAACCTTTGCTAAGATGTCTTCACTAACCACCCTAATTTGTGGGTTGCCACTGATGAAGCTGGTACGGATTTTAATGGTGTGTTTTTTTCCTTACTGCCAGAAACTTGCTTTCTTATCATTTGCTTTGTGATATACCTTACAGCTCTAAAGCAATTAGCTTCAGTTGCTCAAGCAGATGACATCTGATCTCATAGTTCTGAACTGGCTAATCCTTACTGAGGGATATGCACCCTGCACTTTTACTAGGAATGCAAGTCTCCCTCCTCAGACAGAAGTTTTGTTAATGGAGCCAGGTAACAGCTCAGGCTTAGAAAATATCTTTGTGGGGCAGGGGTGTTGGTTTACCTCAAGGCAGCATGTGTTTCACAAGGTGAACATTTTCCTATCATGTTCTTTTCATGTATGTTGCAAGAAGGGAGGGCCAAGAGGTACCATGAGACACATCCAAACAAGTGATGTAAAATCTCATTTAGATGACTCTGAAGTTCAAAGAGTAGTAACAGATCAGACAGACACTGCCATGTCATACCTCACTGCCACGAGAATGCCATGGGCACGTGTCAGCTGCTCCCCCTAACGCCCTTGCAGAGAAGTATAAGCCTTGAAATGTAAGTGCTGCCCAAAGGACTTTGTGATGTCAGGAATCCAGCCTTTTACCAAAATGGGACCCACTGACACACGCTTGAAGAATGGTATTTATTTTCCTTTGCAGACCTTTTAGCTC